GTAATTTAAAATTTTGACTAATCAATTATACTCTTTATGGATGTCAGTTCGTAAGAAATTCTTCTATGCACAACATGAAAATTAATATACAGTATCAATCGTATAAATTTTATTATATAATTTTAAAATAATTTATTGTGATAAAGAATGTGATATTGTGATACAAATTATATAACATATGTACTAAATTGAAATCTGTATTTTGGACGATCCAAGAGTTTAACTAGAAGCCCGACAAGGGGTATGTATTCGTTTATTTGATAAGTATGTATTAGTTAAGTAACTTACGAACTGTTTTTTTAAATTTATTTTTGTTTGTTACAGTTTCTTATTTACCCCTTTACAATTAATAAATCTATACTCAAGCTAATCAGCCTTATTAATTGTAACGGTGTGCCATGCCACCGTTTGTTTTCCTAGGTTTCAGTATGCAAACTTTTTGTTTTTGAAACTCAACATCATTTCATTTTATTATTCGTCTTTCGTAATTTAAAATTTTGACTAATCAATTATACTCTTTATGGATGTCAGTTCGTAAGAAATTCTTCTATGCACAACATGAAAATTAATATACAGTATCAATCGTATAAATTTTATTATATAATTTTAAAATAATTTATTGTGATAAAGAATGTGATATTGTGATACAAATTATATAACATATGTACTAAATTGAAATCTGTATTTTGGACGATCCAAGAGTTTAACTAGAAGCCCGACAAGGGGTATGTATTCGTTTATTTGATAAGTATGTATTAGTTAAGTAACTTACGAACTGTTTTTTTAAATTTATTTTTGTTTGTTACAGTTTCTTATTTACCCCTTTACAATTAATAAATCTATACTCAAGCTAATCAGCCTTATTAATTGACCCAAGCACCGAACCCGTCACAGTACATTTGGTATGATGGCTGAGAAATTTGGCGTTCTAGATAGACCCATACGTTGTCGTGACCCGCAAAAAGTTAAAAATATTGTAAAATCTGCGTGTATATTGCACAATTATGTACGAAGCAGAGAAGGTATTCAGTACAATCCACAACAATTTGACACAATTGACTTCACTCCAGAATCAATATCAGCACCACAAAATCTTCAAGTAACTCCACTGTCTTCAGCTTATAATCTCAGAGATTATTTAGCAAACTATTTTATTACACCACATGCAGCATAACCGTGACAATGGACATATATTTTGTAATAAATAATAATAATTTTTTTTATTTTTTTTTATTTTGAAGTTTTTAGTTTTTTTGTATCATTTTTAGCCACCTTTACGCCAACCAGTCCTCGAGAGGATACGAGATCTTGACTTGGGTGGGAGATTCTAATTGTGATTTTGTACAGTGCACTGTATTATACTTACCAAGCCCTTCAATTTGATACCCATATTGATGGGATCGAATAAACCTATGTTATCCGTCATTTTGTAGCGGCGGCCATCTTTGATTTTGATTTCGTATAGTGCACTGTGTTCTACTTAACATGCCCTTTCATTTGATATCTATATTGATGGGATTAAGAAAAAAATAAGTTGTCCGCCATCTTGTAGCAGCGGCCATCTTGGATTCACAATAATATTGAATGTACATAATTGTATTGTCACCAGAATCAAAGGCGTATACCAAATTTCAGATCGATCAGTTGACGGAAAGAAGGTGAAATTTCAATTACTAAATTTAAACAACGAAACAAACGGGATAAGCTAAATAAAACCGTTTAAAAAATACTCACCTGTCAAATTAAAGACTTTTCCCACTGCGCTCCAAGCTCTTTCTGTTATATCCTTTCGTGAATATTCTATTATTTTATAATTATATAAGCATGGGTATTTTTCCACCTCCTTCACAAATTGAATATTTAATGTTTGCTCGTTCAAAGAAACTCGGGAAACCAGTAGCGTGGTGACTGGTACGACGCGTCGCGCGTGATCGGTTGCTAACATTACTGACCAGTTAGTAACTAGTCGCGTCGTATGTGAACCTCCTATGAACTCCTACAACTCCTACTACATACACTAAAGTCTTTATATGGATTGCACGCATAGTGTTTTCCAAACACTGCAGATTTCTATTTCATTGATATCAGAATCATAAGCTACTGATGATGATGAAACTGCCAAAGAAGACAAATATCCACATGTCTTAATTTCAGTACAAAAGAAAAATCACTATTTGATTTTTCATCTTAGGGGAAAAATTTATCTGAATAGATCTGATTATTTACAACCTGTTCTTTTGAACCCTTTTCTGTTGAACACCTTTTCTTTTGAATCATATAGAAGCAAATATAGAAATCTCCACTCGAGGTGTTTTTAAGAAAAAATGTTTTTTTATTTTTTTTTGTAAATGAACCTATGTCTTTTTGAACAAAGTCTCTTCCTAGTGTTCGCGAATAGCATCTTCTATAGTTTCATTATTTTAAATGGTTATCATTTGTATTTCATGACTTTAATCAGAAAGCAAAGGAAAAAAAATTGAAGCGCTCAATAGTTTGCCAATTATCACTATAACGATTGATTAGAATTTTAAGAACATCCGATGCTTTCGATTCACTTATTTTATTTGTAGGCAAAAGTGCTGTAAATTGTAAATGAAAAGACAGTCTCCCTGGAAAATTAACATTATTAAAAACGCCGTCATCATGTTTATAATGTAGGATTCCTTTAATGAGAACGTTTCCTGCTTTTTTGGAACGTTTTAGAATATATCGTACGGCGTTTTAAAATTAGAAATGCCATCTTCCTATATGTTTCATTACTCTTGTTACGTCATCCCTCCAATTGAATACTTTCAACATTCATATGTTTTATAATAAATGTTTTATAATTATTAAAAATAGATAACTCCTCTCTGTGGCAGACTTACACCATAAGAGGTTTTTTTAGATCAATTTCACACTGCTTTTACTATCGTGTGATAGGCAATAATATGAATATGTGTTATAAAATTATATGGCATGTTCGGCTTGATTTTACGTAACTTTTCCCTCAATATAAAACTTTTATTTTTTGTTTCATAGATTATGCAAAGCATGCCTTCGATTATTATGATGAAACACAGGATATATTTTCTGAATCACCAGACCTTACTGATTCCCAAGAATAGTCATACTGGAAAACGAAATACTGGAAAAAACAGATCGGGACCATGACTGATGGCACAATTAAGGATTCAAAAGAATGTGGAAATGTGGTTCAAAGGAATTCAAGAGAATGGCACGTAAATATAATACCGATGTGGAAATTCGACGCTATGAGTTTTTCGGCTCTGTAGTAGCATGCGAGTAGGTCAATTATCATGTTGGTCATGCTACAACATAATGCAACAAATTATTAATGTTTTTAAAAAGCCTTAAATATACAGGGTAATATTTTGATCAGTGTAGGCTTCAGACTCTAAAGTTAGAGGATGATTCTAGTTAAGTACATATAAGTAAATTTTTTAATTGAAATGTGAGGAAAAAGTAACACCAAACATTTATTTAATTACTTTTATGAGCATATTTAATTTTTTGTGCGAACTCTTATCACTCATGTTTCGGTATTTTTTATATTTTAAGGTAAATTTTATTATATATTCATAACGGTTATACTATCTAATAATGGAAATATAGTAGAAAACGCCAAAATATAAGTTTTATTTAAAGATTTACCTAAACAAAATGGAACAAGTCTTGTAGTGCTATCCGTTACGTGAAAATAGTCACCAATTAAAATAAAAAAAAACTACTAAAGATATTTATTTATTTTAAAATATCTGACATATATATTAACAAAGAAACTTAAAAACGTTTATCTCAATTCAAGAATCCTGAAAAAAATGTACTTTGTTCATAAGTTTTGTGACTGCCTGTACTTTTTTTTTAGATTTTTTGAAATTTTTTTTTTGAAAATATCACGTTTTTTTGCGATTGCAAGACCATCTATTTTAATAAAATTAATTTTACACTAAGTGATAATACTGTACCCTTAAACCAGAATAAATACTACAATTTTAGTTTTTCTCTTTCCGAAATTAAGGGACAGTGACAAAACTGAACTTCCTAAAACAGTAAAGGCTTGTCTATATGGCACTATTTTCAGAGATATTTTTTTGTATCTAATAAACCGGCTAATGGTAGGTATTTCTATTTATTACACAAGTAAAAAATAAGTAGGCAGGTACTCAAAAATAGATCATAATTTAGCATAGTAAATCAGTCTAACTCTCTCAGCTATTTGAAGTTTTTAACGAACCAACTCAAATACAACACATGGCACTAAGTAGGTATGTAATGAAAGAGATAACCTAATAATATAATCAATCACAATTGTATATCACATGCAAAGTGATATATATATAATCAATCACAGTTGTAGACATTTGTATTGAGTATGATCTTATACTAAGTGTACTCGTATCTGTTATAAATTGATTGGACAATGATCTTATGGCAAATCAACACGGGTAGTACAAAATGTACCAATAATACTTCGGCATAATAATATGATTGTATCCATCAGTAGAACAAGTCTTATTATGGAAAAGAAATCGTGAACAGAACTTTTTCTTCCATCATACATGTATATCGTTCTAAGGTGTACAGACACTTTGTACAAAATCTATTCATCTATTGTGAAACAGCTGAATCAGTTCTTTCTTTCTTTATAAACTATGAAATGAAATTATAATCATCATAAAGAGAAAAAAGATATAGAAATAAAACATCAATTCCAACAGAAAGTACACTCATCATCTGAAAAATGAACGTACACAGAGAAATCGCAATTATAACACCAAAAATAGCTGCATTAAAAAAAAAAATATCTTGTCGATCCATGGTAGCTATCAAATGTTGCGGTCTGCTAAATGGGTGAATATAATCCCCACAGCTGGAACAATTTGTAGACACAATGAAGTGTGTCTGGGTCCACGGCCATGGTATGTTAAAGTTATAAAAATTCACCAAGTCTTCATAAACCAGGACTTTGTCGATATCAGTGTAGATTACCATAACGCTCAAATGTTTGTGCCGGCGCGGTAGTTGTTAATCTGAAATAAAAACATGTAGTTTTGTATTTAAGTCTTGATATGAAATGTTTCAATTATATGTATTACTTACAGAATACAGTACCTTCTAAACAAATGTCACAAATATAAACTATTTGGATTGACTGGTCAATGCATTCCTCGCAGTACCATTTCTTACATGCCATACTTTTACCTTCCGGTCCTAAAATTGAACATTCTAAAAATGGTAGTGGATTAAAGTCCTTTTTCTTTGCTTGGTTAACCATTCTATTAGACGGTTTTCTCTTTAAAGTTTTAGAAGTTTTTCCTATGTTAACGCTTCTTGGACACAATGGTTTACTCACGCTAATTTTGTCCACTTCAACAGTTTTGGGTTTGTCTTGTAGTATGATCGGTAACTCATCTATGTTCATTAAATCGTCAACAGCAAAAGAACACATATCTGTATCAATAGACAATCTTTCAATATATTCTAAGCGAACGTGGTTAAATGATTCTGATTCCGGAAAAGAGTTGAGTGCTGCGTCTAGTATGCTCTTTTCGAATTCAACTTGAACCTTAGGTGGTTTAAGCTGAATATCAACCAGAACATCCAACCAAATAAATATCAACAAATATCAACCAGGATCAGTAAAACCACCATTTTTGACATCAACAACCGATAGATTTGGCTTTTTTGGTGGCAAAGAGAATCCTTCAGACATCTGTGTAGCCTGTTCAAAGGGAATGATGAGATTTTCTGAGGTTGTTGTAGCACAAATGATGGTCGAACTCAACCGTGGCCGTGGTTTCACAGTCACTACACAATGAGATTGTGGTGAATAACAATCACATTTTCCTCGGATAGGCCCACAAAAACAGCTAATGTCTCTGTAATGTATCGTGTGTTCAGTATCGTAGGTGAAAATTTGATGCACCCGTAGTGTTCCTTTTAAAGCCTGGAAGTTACTCGGCCAGCTCTCCTCAACCTCTTCAATTTTGCTGTTTGGAATTAGAAATATTTTGGTCCGTTTTAAACTAAGTTTAAGATCATTATATGCATCCTTTGCATCGGCGACATCAATTCCTTGGCTAACTTTTTGTCCAGCGTACGTTTGACACTTCCTCCGATCCCATCCGCCACGCTTTTGCCATGGTCATATTTATAAAACGCGAAAAGTCGCAAACTATAACAACTTCATCTTTTTTTAATTCTTTGACAACTTTATGATACTATCCTTGCTGGTGTTGGATATTTAAATCGTGTTTTTTGAACTCTCGTAAATTATTTTCGTATATAGTTTGTAATTCTTTAACAGTTCCTGTTTTCTTCACTCTAGCAGTTTTCTTCGTCGTAACTTCTTTAATCTCACAACCTTCTTTTTTTATATGTAGGGTCTTGTCGTTTCCACTGATACCATGTAACATCTAACCTATGTACCGTTTCAATGTCTGGGAGTGTCTCATATTGTGGTTTCTTTATTTTACATGCTTGGTAGTTATTGTACATACAATCGTAGTTCTTTGTGTCACATGCTATTTCTGCTAAGCCTTCTTTAACTCCCATTTTCAGTACTCCAGCTTTCTTAAGAGCTATGTTTAGCTCTGACAGTTTTGAAATAGTTCCTTCCAGTTCATTTATTTTTTTTCTCACTTTCTTGTGTCTTTCTGGCAACTTATCTCTGAAGACGTTGAAATTTCTTTTTGGAGAATTCTTTTTGAGCTTTTATTTTTTTTTGCCACATTGACGCATTTCCTGTATTTGTTTGCTAAAAATCTACATCTTCTTCGTATTCTTTTCATTTCATTTTGTTCATTTTTCGAATCTGATGAGAATTTAAATAAATTTAATCGTTTTCTTTGTTCTGTGTTTTCTTGTTGGAATTACTTTTCCTCTTTTGTTTCCTCCATATTTCTCTTTGAATTTCTGCTTCTTCAGGCGTCATTTCTGATATTTTCTTCTTTTTTGACTTTATTCTTTCTAAATTATTTTTACATTGAGCGGCGTATTTTTGTGGACGTTCCCTTTTTAGCTTTTCCCTGTATCTTCTCGTCTTTTCCGCGCCAGTACAGATGATTAGCTCATGAATGACTCAGGGTTTCGAACGATAATAATGTACAACTGAGTCATGTGAAACTATGCGTTTTGAATGGAAACCAGAGTTGTCATGTAGAACTTTTTTATAAGATTTTTTATAATACTTATTTACTTCTTTGTGCAAAGTTTTTTGGGGAGAAACGCACATATACTCTGTTTCAAATGAGGTGAAAATAGTTCGCCAAGGTTATTCGCGGTCGATACTAATGAGTGACAGTAAAATTGTGCAGCGGCAAAAGCCTGCCTTTTTTTTAAACTAGCGATCTGGTAATTTATTTAAATATAACTTAATTATATTTTATATATGTATATGTATTATATAAACCTTACGTAAACAAAATCACAAAATTAAAAATTTTGAAAGACCTGCTCGGATATAAAAAGTTAATAGAATTGAAAATACTATAGACCAATCACTCTTCAAAATATTAACATATCAATATTCAGTGAATTTGATCTGACAAAACAAAAAAGTGTTGCTTAGCAACCGATGATCTTGCGAAACTATGGTGGCACCATGAATATACCGGCACTCTTAGCACATACATTGCATGATATCTTAAAAATGTGGTGTTTTACATTATTTGTATCTCCAGCAGATTTCGGAAACGCGTATCGAAATCCGTCCAACCGTTTAAGAGATATAAGGGAATATAGAAAGTTCTCACAAACAAACAACATACCACCCCAAACGCATATAGGGTCTCCGTTCTGTCACGGGTAAAAATTATCTAAATGATGGTGAAAACTGCATTATAATCCTTTACGAAACTTACGACGACTTAGCGAATAAACGGACAAACACACAGACGCGGAAAGCGACTTCATTTTATACTTTTCAGAGATTTTATATTTGCTAGCGCTAATCTTAACTGTCGTTATACCTAGTATTTGACGCAAATGGAGTGGTGAACAGTTTCTACTTCTTTGACATGAAATTTAAAAAGTTTTTAACGTCTTTGTGAACGAACCTTTATGAGGTGAGTCATGTAGTAACTTTTGGTTCAGCCCGTATGTGACCAGCAAAATAGTCACAAATTGAAGTCACATATATTTACCCACATGCATTAAAAAATAAATTAAAAATTATCGATCGTGCCTGGCGTTTGAAATTTATAACTACTGAATACTAAATTAAATTTACAATAACGTGTAAAATTACTAGAAATTTAGAACAATTAAAAAAAAATTAAAGACACAAACCTGAATTAAAAATATGTTCGTCCGTAGGGTCACTTCAACACGTCTTGTTTACAAGCTGCACTAATATGACACTAAATTCAAAATGGCGTTTTTGTATTAAGAAGCATTAAATGTTGCCATTTCAAAAAGAATGTTCATATTAGGGGAGCTTTTGTAGTTAAAATAAGGTGGCAAAACTGAAAGTTCCGGATTGTACAGAAATTTAAACGCGTCAATTTTTTTTTATTTTAATAAAATATCTGTAAACAATTAAGAAAATTTTAGCATATATAACTGCTGTCGATATTTAAGTATAAAATGAGCCAAATACATTATGTGATTTCTACCAAAACATTTATTATTTTTCATAATAAAGCATAGTATTTGATGAGGGGACATACGAAATCAGTCCATGTGGACCACTTTAATGGTCATTAAATTAGTTCTGCTCGAATCAATGGAAAAAATATTTATTAATTACAAAATAAAACATATGTGAATTGCAAATCTCAAAATATTTTTTTTCTTGTAGAATAAAAATTAAGTTAAACCTGGGGGACAGCCCTATAAAGGGTTGAGCACAAAAAAAAATGAATAAGCTCTTATGCTGTTTTCCAATTTCTGTTGAAAATTACTTACATTATCAGAAAATACTTGTCTCTAAACTTAACTTAAACAGAATCTTATTTGATTTGAAGTAACTAAATACCTTTTAGATTTATTTGTTTGCTTTATGAACCTGATATTGCAAAATATCATGTATCTATGTAAATTAACACAATTAATGATGGCAATTACAGTATCAAACAATTCAGTGTTGTTTGTCATAAATGCTAAAGTATCGTCATAATTGACAATTCTTTTAGTGACATTCTTAACTTAATTAAAACAAATTTTAATAAAGAAAACAATCTTTCAACACTAACATCCGTTGGTGGAGTAGCTAAAACTACGAGTATATTAGTAATAATAAAACTTTATTTGCATTTCCAACAACACATTAAAATTATAACTGTTTAAGATTAAATATACTAAAACAAACAAAACAAATAACCAGAAAGCAACAGAAATAAAATTAAAAACAAGAAATATGTCGGGTTGAGTGCCGCAGCAATGCAAATGGGTCAAGGCTCAGGATACGATTTGCCTACAAGGAGACAAATCCCTGATATATTCTGCCATAACCCTGAGGAGCATGAGACGCCAAAGCGCCGTATATTAAAGAAAAAAAAACATAAAAAGAATATATAAATATACAGTACCGAAATAACAAAAATGTATATAAACATACATCTCTCTTATATTTTGTAACACGAAATAAACAAAAAGGTACGATATTCAAAAATACAGTGGACTTACATATATTAAAATAAATATATATATACATACATAAACACACACACACATATATATACATAAAATCACTTGCATATATCCATAAACATAAGAGAAAATACGCATCATACTTCACAATCTAAATAGCAACCGAGTACCCCCTAGGTATATCCTGCTTTTCTAAAAGAAATTCTTTGAAATGAATTTTCAGAGTTAAGTAGATATACCCAGAGGTGGTGGTAAGTTGTTCCAGCATTTGGTTGCTAGGTAACGGAAACTACTAGTGAAAGCAACTGTCTTGTGAAGGTGAATCTTCAGTAAACATCTATTAGCCCTGGCTCCATACTTGTTGAGACGATGAAATCGAAGCTTTGCAAAAAGATAAGTTGGCTTCTGGAACTTGATAATGTCGAATAGAAGGCTAGCGAGGTGCAGGTGTCTACGCGAAGTCATATTTAACATCGAAGCCTCATTCAAATAGGGTGTAATGTGACTTCTAGGAGGTATTGTAAAACAGAAACGACAACAGGCATTCTGCACTCGCTGAACAAGACGACGAGTCCCTGAAAGCAGGCGTGGACCATACACTAGATTTCCATAATTAAGTTTTAACAGTATCAATGATTCACATATAATAATACGAACTTTTTCGTCTTATTAGATAAATAATACAGCTGTAGATCAGTAAACCTCCTCTCATACCAATATTTCAAAATGTTTTCATGCGTAGGCGACAGCGGTCTATTTAAAAAGTTACTTAAAGAAATTTGAAGTGGTTTCATGCGGCTGGTGGTCGTCCCCTCTGACGTTCCCTGTATCGCCTCTCAAAGAAATAATCTATGTATATTACTTATTGATGTGTTAACTTCTACAGGAACATTAGCTTGACTTAGACTTATTTTTTAACTTATTTTCAATGTCTGTCAGTTCCTGGTATTGTAACTGCAAAATATTGTATCTTTGGTATGTATGCATTAAATGGTTACGATTTTATTCTTTCTGAGAGTATCAAATTGAGCTCTGGCGAATACAGAGGATGACGAATGGTTTCTAAGAACAGTTCCTTAAGGTTCAAAACGGTTTCTCGTATGAGGTCTCTGAGGTCTCGCGTTGTCATTGAGCAATAATGGTGAAAATCGATTCATGCGTCGGGGCTGTTTTACTGCTAGTTTTGCCAACATTGTTCGGAGTTCGGCACAATAGACATCTGCCATTATTGTTTGACCAGATCGGAGAAAACTATAGTGAATACCACCATGCTGGGACCACCAAACAGTTACCATTACCTCTTTATTGGTAAGTTTTGCTTTAGAACATTGTTGTGGGGTCAGCCATTGCATTTTTCTTTTACGGTTATCATAAAGAATCCACTTTTCGTCAGATCTCACAATTCGATCCAATATTCCTTCATTTCTGTACCGATTTAACAAGGCAACACAAGTTTCAACACGCGTTTCTTTCTGCAGATCAGTCAAATCATGAGGCATCCATTTTTGGTATTTTTTTATTTTATTGATTTGACGCAAATGAGTCAATGTTGTGGGTAAGGTTAAGCCAAGGTTAAGCCATGCCGCTAATTTCTGGGTAGTTTGACTAGGATCGACTTCCATCATTTCTCTTAATTCACCGTTATTCACCTGTGTGGGCGGTCTTCGTTGTGGTTCGTTCTTCAAGTCGAAGTTTCCATCTCGAAAGCGTTTAAACCAAAATCGCTCGGTGCATGCATTAGCAAACCCCTCTCCAAACGCAACATTGATATTGCGGGCTGTTTCTGCCGCATTACTTCCACGTCGAAACTCATATTCAAAAATCACTTGAATTATCGCAGTATCAATCTTTCTTGGTTAAGTTGAATAACAAAAACAATCGAGGGTTGATATTCAAATGTTTCACATTTTTTAAAAGAAGACATCATAGACCACGTGAAAAAAGTTACTTTCGAAAACCTCAAACCATGAAGATTATATGTCAATTTAAAAAACTTATTACAATATAACGGCAATTTCATACTTTAACCCCTAATATATGCAGAGACCAATGTCTATTATTTTTAATATTAAATATTTCTTTCGCAAAATTTCTTTCCTCCTTAACCATCCATAAGGAAGGCCTGAGCCCCTGCAGTGGGGATGTAAAAGGACTGATGATGATGATGATTTCTTTCGCGTTCTTACTCATTGCAGTATCACATTACAATGAAGATTCTTCTGGCAGGACGCCGACAGACGTGACGGTGAAAAGAAAATAAGTTGACATAAAATAATTTCCTTCATCCATTTCTGAACAAAACTAATTT